GTCAATTCAACCAAGCTGTCTTCACTTGGGAAAGTTTTTGTGTTTGCTGGGAGCCACACTCTTGAAGGTGGTGGAGGGTTTGAAACCCCTTGCTAACAGCCACAGTATGGTCTTTCTTTAAAACTCATTTTGGGCTTTTAGACACATGTATTCCAGAATATTGCATTGATCTACAGCTCCTGTGAGACTGGATAATGTTACTCAAAGTCTTTAATTGCAGGAGAAGTTTAGTTCTTTTACTTACTTTCAATCATTGTTCTCAATTTTTGTAGTTGACAGAGAGGCCTTTGAATTTATTCCTTTGGGTTTTTCTTAAAATCCTTCGGATTTTGAAGACAGTGGTTGAGTTAACAGATGGAGATACCTTTCCACAAGGTGTGTTTCAACGTTCCTTGGCTTCAGGAAGTGGGTCAGTATAGAGATCAAGGAGATTTCTTCCCACTGACCTCACATTTTTGTAAGGTTTTATTTATTTTATTTACGGGTTATGGCAAAATAAACAAATTAATTTTAAGGATTTGTTTGGTCCTCTCTTCAGTGAAAAACTGAGATCTAGAAGAGGTGTCTGTCACTTATAAAAGCGTAATTTGCAACCCTCAATTTCAAAAGATTTGATGAACCATTTATGATTTATGGGCATTTCTTGATTCACAGCAAACAAGTAATTGCTGTTCCAAAAATTCTGCTTTCCTAGGAGACTGTATCCAAAGAACCTTTTTTTCAAGTGCTGGTGCCCTTAGCAGCAATACATAACTTGCTGAAATGAAAGAACAGCTGAAAAAATATATATATTTATAGTTTCAGCTATTACAAAAGAAGTGGGTCAAAATGTGCCTTTTTGCCTGTGAAACATAGTAATTTTTTTGCCTTCATGATTAAGATAAATCATCTTGGCTATCTTACTGTGATAACTATGTATTAGGATTGACATTTAGGTACAAACTGGTGAGAATCTGGTCTGCTGCATGCAAATGAAGAGGCCCTTGTGCAGAGGCATGTCTTTGGCCTCTTTTTGTGTGATTCTTATGCCTCACACATGAAAAATAGAATTGCAAAAGGGTTTTTAAAGGCTTTATGTTGTGGCATTTATTGCAATGTGTAACGAGAATTGCAAAGCCTAAGTGTCCTATCATATTTTGTCTGAAAAAAGGGATTTGTACAACCTGCTACAAAAGGTAAGTTGAGTACTGATTCTGAATTAATGGATAGTGAGTAGTAGTAAATAAAAAAGAAGAGTTAGCAGTGTATAGTGTCTTTATTTTTGCCCTCCTTTTAAACTTCTTTTCTTTAAACTTTTTATGTAGGACATCATAATCTGTAATGCAAAATCAAATAAGGTCTTCCTCCAGGAATGCTTCCTATTTACAGGTGGAGAATGTGGGAATTACTTTTGTTAAATATATTTAAGAGACGTTTTTTCCATTCTCTCAATAAAGTGGACTGAGGAGTTAAATTCTCCTTTTAAATGAGAAAGATGAAATGTTAGGCGTAGTAAATCTATCTGGCCCGAAACAAATTATTGGGAACCATGAAAAGAATTTCTTTGAAGATTTAGTGGAAGACTAGTGACTGGCATTACCTTCTGGTGCCAGGAACAGGATGGTGAACCCCTGGATCAGAGTTAGAAGTGAAGAGGAGGTTGTCATCTAGAAAGAGAAGCTGCCCAGGAGGCCCCAAACCTGGGAGCACTTACACTGGTAGCTATGGATGCATATGAAAGCTTTACTTTAGGTTTCTCCCCCCTCCTCCAGATTCTTGGGTAAATCCTTTTATTTTGCAAAGCTGTCCTGCATTGGTGCAAGGGAATGTACCACTGGACACAGCCAAGTCTGCTCACACATAACCACACAGCAGGCAGGAGGGTTTGCAGATGTCTGCTTCTGTCTTACAAGAGATTGGAGGCATGAACAGTGTATGTTGGTTCATGACTGCAACAAAGGGAAACTCATTGGGACCTGCCGGAAGAATGATATTAGGAAATGTGGATACGTGATAAAGATAGGGATATGGTCTGATAAAGAACGTTTAAACTTCATAGCACGTGACAGCTATGTTATGGCTTAAATACTGTCCTTCTGGTCACCCTGAATTGAGTGTGTTGCTGCACGTTGTTGTTGAGAATTTAGCTGATTCTGTTTATTTTAGCTTTTAGTATCTCAAATACAAGACTATTTGACAGCTCGCTCTTTACAGTTCATTACTATATCGTTGACTCATTGTCCACAATGAAATGAAAGGGAGATAAATTGCAATGGTGGTTCTGTGCTTTTCACTCTACATGATCTCTGAATGCTTGACATGACCGTGACCCACTCCAGGCACCACTGAAATATGGACACTGAGCAAATGTGTAATGATGTGCAGTTGCACTTGGGTGGATTGAAACTCCAAGCGAAAAACACCCCATGAGTTTGCAATTCCAGGAAGCCTTTAGCTAAGTAGTATGTCAGTAATGCTGTTAGTGTTTGTTCATGGAAGGAGAGCTTCTGACAACCCATCTTAAAAGCTAAGGAAAGCATTTTCAGACCAACATAATACTCCCTCATGGTCATTTAAATGACCACAAAAGATAGTTCAAGTAACAGCTTGGCTGGTTTAGTTTAAAAGTATTATGCTAGAAAGTAGTTGGACTAACCTGGAAAAGATAGACTAGAGGACAAGGAGGTTTGTCTTCAGCTTATTAGAAAATTGTGTGTTCAATGTTGAAAACAAACGTATCAGGTAAAACTCTAGTCATTGCCATGGTTATTACTTCAGAACAATCACGCTGGTATTAGTCAAATCAACAATGGAGATGGAAAGGAATATCTACTGCCCAGGTATACTTAAGTAAGACTAATATTACTGTGAAACCATTTTGCTATACTTCTCAATAAAAAGCAACAGCGCTTAGTAAATTCAGTTAAATCACTTAGAGGAATTAAAATGCTGATAAGCTAATACTGATCCTTCTAATTATTGAATAAATTAGCATAAAATAAATAAATAATGCATTCCTGGATTTACAACTAAAGGTAATTTTATTAGAATGATAATTTCTTGAATTGCCTTTTTTCTGAATATTTAGGTGATTTTTTTAAATAAAAAAGATACATAGAAGTTAACCCACTTATTAAAGAAAGTATACTACACAGACGTTAATTGCTTGATCTTCATATAGATATATTTATTTTCAAATAATTTATGAAGGCAAGTGCATTGACAGACGTTTTTAAAAGTTTGCCTATTTAGACTCACATCACAAAAGTGTTTGGATTAGAAGTGTACCTACATTCCAGAATTCACGTATTTTCCAATAAAAATACATGAAGTCATGTTGGCAATGCAGCGTGCAAGAATATTCTGTGAAAGTATTTCACAGAAGTAATTATAGAAGAGATAATTTAATTTTTGTTTCCAAGTTTGTTATTTTGGCTACTGCCTTTTCGTCTCTTCCTTAGGTGGGTTTTGTAGCGGCTGACAAGAGTATGAGGAGGGATGCACAGGGAGACAGCAACAAGGTGGCTTTAGTAGTCTAACCATGAAAGTCTCATGAATTTCAGATGCTGTCAGACTTCAACCATGTGCTGAAAGAGCAAAGGGAAATAAAAATAGATGAATGTTATCAGACTTGCCATTAGGTTCAGAGGAGTCATTCTGAATTAATTTGATATCTGTGCATTGATCAGTTGTTGGTTTGGATGACTGGCATTGTGTTGCAAATAGCAGTAAAAACTGCTGAGCATATTGTCTAACCTTTCCTTGTAATGGCAGCATCAATCATTCCATGATTAACATTCTCACAGGCACTTTTTTCATCTTCTGCTGTAGCATCTCTTCCAGTAAGAGAATGGATTAACAGCTGAGCACTGGAGGAAAAGAGTCTTCTCTGAGACACTCTATGCAAGTCCATAGAAAAACATAATTTATCATGTGTCACTTGGAATAATGAAGCACAGAGAGATACCTTCCTCATCCTGCAGAATCAATAGTTTTTTAAATATAAATGGAAATATATAGCTGAGAATGAGGATCATTTTTCCATTGAATACCTGTAACCAAATTATATAGTAACTCTGATTTATAAATGCCTTATTTTCTGGATGGGGAAAGATCAGTCTAATCCCATTACATATTTCTCATTTTCACAGCCAAAATCTCATTCTTCTGGGGTATCAGTCAAGTGTGTGCCTTCTCTCACCCATGTCTTGAGCATGAATAGTTAGTTATCTAGGAAGGTTCAGGAACAGCATGTAGTAAAGAAATCAACGTCGAATAATAAGACAAAGTAAAGAGAGAGAAAATTTTACCTGCATACTAAAATGTAACTTCTATTTTTTAAGTTTTCAGAACACCCTTTTGAAGAAGTAGTACAATGCTTGTACTCTAAACAAATGAGTAAAGAAGAGTGTACACAACACACAGCATTGTAAGGGGTTAGTTTATTTACTGTGCTTTCAGAATATTTTATGAGTATTTAACATTGATTTTTCTCTCTCCTGGGAGAGGTTATACAATAATTTACATAGCCACTGGAATTTTCGAAATATGTGTAATTCTCTCATCAAAACAATTCTGAGAAGTTAGAAAGTGTTATTTACCTACACTCTGCCCAGCACACACCTGTTAAGCTGTCAACAGGTCACTGTCCCAAAAACTGCATCCATTTGTGATTCAGAGTCACTAAGCCTATGAGCCGAAAATTTCATTTTCTTTGACTTCTAAGACCTGAGACTTCATCTTACCACAGAAAGAGCTGCATCCACGCTTGAAAGCTGCTCACAGTGTGTACAGATCTCACAGCCCCTCACAGCCCAAAATCTTGTGCTAAACTGCAAGCTGCAACTCAGACAATAACATTAATAGAAAATCCTTGATAAGGTAGTTCAAACGTAGTCTAGTCTGGTGCTTGTCTGAAAAAAACTGAGCTGACATTTTAATAGATATTCTGTAAGTCAAAGAACTTCCCTATTAACCTAGAGCGAATTGTTATTTTTTTCCCATTTTGATATCTTTTCAAGGCTTCTGATGAACAGAGAGCAAGAGCTTTCCCCAAGGAGCATCTTCAGCAGAAACCAAATAGTAAGTAATATAGCAGGCATTTAAGGTACATCTTTCAGACAGCTACTCGATTCCACATAGTCTAATAGATGCCTCCAGAAATTACACTCACTTAAAACTGGAAAGTGGCATATGATACCCAGTTTATGTATATCTCCATACTTTGTTTTTGGACTTGCACTGGTGGGGACAGAAATACATGTTCCAGCAAGGTTTCTGTGTCCTCCACTCTTGGTCAGATGTACAAATTAAAACAGAGATTGCAAAATAAAATATTTTCTAAATATCTGATCTAAGTGTTCTTATCTGCTGTCAGCCAGCCTGGTTTTAGATGCCTTCTATTAGTTTTTTCATAAGAAAAAGTAGTCATATTGAAACTGAAACTAGGTGTCTGTTGTAAACTGACTTCTGATCCCATACCTAACTTCCTAACAGGGAAGGCTCATCCTTCTGAAAATCATGTTCTGCATCTCAGCACTGAATGAGGGATTTCTGGGAATATTAGGGAAAGAGACTTGGGTAAACTTGTGAAAGTTCACGTATTTCATAGTCAGAAAGTCTCAGTTTGAGGTGTTTGTTCTACTTCTGAAAGAGCTGGACTAGACATCCCGTGTTTGCTTTGTCTTTGGGAAATAATAGTTCACCTGCAGATATGTGCAATAGACTCATCACCTGATGGAGAGGGGAAATGATTAATTAGATTTTTTTGAAACTTGATGGTGACTGACACTTTATGCAAATTATTTAGACCACTTGCATATTAATTAGAAAAAGTATATATTATCATATTTATTGTATTTTTGACAATGTGTGTTCTAAATAATGCAAAAAGGGTGATAACTTATCAAATTAGTTGTGTACTAGAAGTTGGCAAGGTCACTGGGGAAATTCAGAGTTATTGGTAGGTGTCAGAAGTGTTCAGGGTCTTAGGGGAAAGGGATGCCCTTGTTTATACAATATGCCAAAACTCGTAGCATGTAAAGACATAGTAGACATGAAGCCTATTCCCTGATAGGAGTAAGGGTTGTAGTTTATGGGGGCACATCTCACTTTTTCTGCCTGGCTGCTGGTTTTGAGCCATGATCAGACATGCAGTTTGGTAAAAAGATGATGCCTGGTACATCTGCAACTACACTACAGAAGTAGCATCCAGAAGTTCACTTTTAGGGTGGGTATAATACACGAGAGCTGTTTAATGTAGCTTGATGCAGCATGATCCTTGTGTCCTGCTTGGGATATACTCTAGATTGGTGATCAACTATGGGGTGGAAAACTGATGGTTTGTTGGGCCCGCAGACTGGTAGTTAATAGTTCACATTCTAATTGCAGACCATATATGAGTTGAATTCCTCAGGACTTTGTGTTGGGAAATATTCTGTTTAATACTTGTGTCAGTACCCTGGAGAAGGAGACACAATATCCTCTCCTTAACTCAGTGGATGACACAAAACTGAGGAGGACCTAGGGGATATGCTGGAGGGCAGGTGTGTCATTCAGAGGGTCCTGGACAGGCTGGAGGATTGGGTCAACCTCATGAAATGGAAACCTCATGAAATTAAATGAAGACAAATGCAAACTCTGGTAGTGGGGATGGACTAACCTCTGCATCAGGTCTACTGGGCAGTAAATTGGGTAAGGGCCAGCAGTGTGCCCTGCCAGCAAAGACGGGCAACAGCATCCCAGACACTATTATGAGGAGCAAAGCCAGTAGACAGATGGAAGAGATTATTTCCTCTACTCAGCACTTGTTAGGCTGCATCTAGTCACACTGGGTCCAGTTTTGGGCCTTCCATTAGAGCAAAGACATCAACAGATTTTTGATACTTGAGGGAGTTAATCAGATGCCCCTGGAGATGATGAGGGCTAGAGCATTTCCTATGTGAGGAGAGGCTGACGGAACAGAGTTTGTTCAGCTTGGAGCACAGGCAGCTTTGCAGGGGGACTTGACAGTGGCCCCCAGTACCTACAGGGTCATTGAGGGGATGGAGCTGGGCTTTTCATGGTGGTTCATGGCACCTGGACAAGGGACAGTGGGCATAAAATGAAGTAAGAGTGTTTCAGGCTGGATATAAGGAGGACACTGTTCCATGAGCACATTGAAACTTGTGCAGTCTACCTGTCCTTGGAGGTTTTCAGGACAAAACTCTGAGGAACCTGGTCCAGAATTCAGTGTTGATTCTGGACTAGAGACTACCTGAGATCCTCTCCAGCCTGAAAGGGTCAATAATTCTATGATAATGAGTCTTTAAATGAGCCAAAAAATGCTGAAGGTAGGATCCTTGCAGAAAAGGGAAGGAGGAAGTGAGTGGTTTTGTCTGCAAGGAAGCAAGACTTTTTTCACCTGCTATCTTTTTTTCTTTGTTGAAATTCAAATTCTGTGGAGGTTTTGCACATTTAGGAGATGATTGCTTTCCAGTTTTGATAATTACTTTATATACCAATTCTTCCAGTCATTAGACACAAATTGCAGTACTTTGCAAACAGAAGATCTGTTTCATTGTCTGACCTGACTAGTAATGAAGTATTTTGACAGTATCTGGGCTAATTCCCTGCTGTGTAAGCATATGTAGCATCTTTGAAGTGAATGGCACTACATGGAATTGTACTAATGGTAAGTTTGGCCCATTTTTAGTAAAATAAAACAAATAGGTTTTGTGCTTGTAAATTATTTAAATGTTCAGACAAGGAGTTGCTGATGAGCAATTATAAGAAAATCTTTCCTCTGACACAAGAAATGTCAGATTTTTCCAAGAAAGCCAAATGATTCTTCTCCCAGATCTTCAAAGCTAAAATGTTGAACTGGAAGTCCATCTATTAAATAGGTACAACACTCAAGTTGATGCATGATCTTATATCAACTCCAGTGCTGTTAAAACACAAAAGTTATGCATCTCATCTGAGCACAGACTTTGGGATAGTTGAGGCAAAGTGTGATGCATTGCCATGTCTTGGAAAGCCTGTCTTAGGTTAAATCCTCTGTGGATGTGGCTCCTGCTCTCTGTTCACTATATGGAGAAAGATAAGATGATTAGCTTGGACTATATACATAAGTTTCAGGTGGCTAAAATTAGCTGAGATAAGTCCTACCCACAACTACTACATTTATAAATTTATCTTCAGCTTCTCTTTTTTCTCTTTTGTTTTTAATGTCATGTCTCTCCACTCACCCACTGTCTTCTGCAGTTTTTCTCTAAATCCATTTTATGTGTTATTTCCTTCAATTTACCCATGATCTCTGATGCTGGAATGGCAAATGGGATTCTGTGATACTTCTCCTCCACTCTATTTGCTGACACACTGATTTTCTTAGAGCAGTTAAGTACTGAAAAAAATCTTTAGGGCTATATACGAGGCAGAAGCAATAACATAAAAGCATCTTACTAAGTTATAAAGAAAGAACCAATTGCAAGAGCTGCATGTGATGTGGTGAAAGGGAAACCTCTGGCTTCTAGTTGAGGACAAATCATAGCATGATTCTCTCACATCCTATTACACACCTGCCCATCAGAGGTAGTCACAGCCCAACAAGCTGCAAGAAGACAGAGCAAGATCTGCAGAAAATAGTGTGAATATTCCAACAAATAGCAGGGGTTCCTTGTTCCCAGAAATGCCACTGTTTTCTTGGATGACTCAGGCCCTAGGGAACATTCCTGGGAGCTCCCAGGGACACCATTAGGAGGTTCAGCAGCAACATCTCTTCCTTAGACCAACCAACTACCCCTTCTCATTTCTTTGTGGCTTGTGCAAGAGGGATGTATCTGGCTAAGTCTGGTGTTAGGGAGACCACAGGAAGAGAGAGGGTCTCTGCCCCCTTTCAGATGGAGGAGATTTTGGCATCATATATAACCTCCCACTGGGCTGTGGCTCACTCTAGGAGTGTGTCCTCACCATGGCCTTCAGTGAGGGCTGCTCAGCTCCTCATGGAGGAGCTTTTGAACCCCCATAAATGACACGTCTGGACTGAGCTGAAATGGAACCCAGGGCTGCCGCTGTCCGAGTGTGAAGGAAAACCCACAAACTCAGCAGTATTTTTCATCAACAGATCCATTGCCAGTGTCAAAAGATGTTATGAACCAATGGCCAAGTATTGCACACACGTAACGTAGTAGGACCCAAGCTTCAAGGCCAGAAATATTTAAGTATAAAGATAACTGATGTTCACAGAGATACCTTAAAATTTTTTCTCCTGGTGCATGTAATGTGATTTTTCCATCTGTTTGCCACATAGCTGAGGAATGCAAAAACTAGAGTATGGTAAGATTATAATCAGATTCATTTATTTTTCAATTACTGCTGGGTATATTTTATTTCTGAGTCTGGGACTAGATCCAGAATTTTTAGCCTGATTGTGGATAATACAGATTACAATTTTTTCCTCAAAATGTGGGACTGCTTATTTTTCCTATGTTTGACATTATATAATCGCAGTTTTTGTAATTATAGGTATTCATTTTTTGTGATGAAATGTGGCTAGTGTAACAACATTCTTTAAATAACTGTCTCCGTTTAGGTGAGAAAGAAACATTTGGCAGTATCCCATTCTGCCATTTAATTGAGTCATGTGAAATATTTGAGCTGGGAGAAAAATAAAAGTTCTTAAGCCCCAGAACATATGAACTAGACATATGTCATCATGGCTCAATTCTGGTATTAGTGCAAATGATTTTGATGCTGTATTAGTGGTGCTGTAGTAAAATAGGAGGAAATCCAGGGAGGAATAAATTAGCACTGTGAGGGAGGCATTATAACGCAAGCAAGAACATCAGCTACCTGCCAGTCATCTCAGTGAATGTGTCTGAGATCCCACCATGGCAGACCAGTGGTAGGAGCTAGGAGATGTATGTGCTGGTGAATTTCTCTTTCCACAAAGGTACATTAACAGAGATCTCTTGAACTGAAACAAAAACCTTTCCTGTTTTCCAAAGTGTTTTTCAAAGTTGTGATAGAGAAGAGACACAATTGCTGGTTTTGGATTTCCTTGTTGGGAAGAGTTCTTTTATGAACCAGAATTGGGTTTTTAT